TCTTTGGTCGGATTTATGGCCCTTTACATGCATATTGTACTTGCCTTGCATCCCCCCATTTTGCCTAGAAATGTGCCTTGCATTTAAGCCATGATGCTTGCATGTTCTAGCTTAGCTTCATGAAGGTTTTAGCATTATTTTGCCATGATCAAGGGCTGTTGGGTGCTGATTTGACCATGTTTGCCATGTTTGGTATAGTTTTTATGTGTTTTGGCTTGTGAGCCTTGAGTGTGTAAGCCATAAGCATGCCTCATTTGGTCTATTTTCGGTGATTTGGAATCATTTGCCATGCCATTTCAGTCCATGTTTGATGCTTGCATACTTGGATTTGTTCTCCTTTCAATGCCTTAAAGAGGTGTAGTCTTATGCTCCATGTTTTGGCTTTGGTGTATGCCTCTTTGCTTGAGTCATTTGGGATGCCATTTATGTGGGTTTTGGGGCTTATTCAACCATACCATATCTCTGATTTTGTAGGTCTTGATATCCATGCTTATCCTTTTTTGCGTGCTCTTGAAAATTGCCTTCCATGTCTTAGCTTTAGGCTCTTTAGTTTGCATATTATTTTTGCATGTTGGCACCTCCATTTTGGGCATTTTTTGCCACTGTTTTGGGGTGGGCTGAGGCCTTTTCATTTCAGTATAAGTCCATCCTTGCATACTTTGCATGTTTGACATGTTGCATTGTATTGGTTGCATGCTTATATTGCATCATGTTTGCATGTTACTTAGCTAAGCTGCATTATATAGTCTTGTTGTATGCTTGACATGTTCATATTGCATTAGTATAGCCTTGCATGAGTTGCATCACTTTGCATTGTATATGGCATACATGCATTGCATCGCTTAGTTTGGGGTGTCAAACCAAGCATGAGGGGAGAGGTGTGTTCGTACTCGAAGTGACGAGACACGTCTCAACCTTCGGTCGCCAATATCCTTGATCTCAACATGATAGGGTGTTAGCACTCATTTGTTTGTTGCATGCATCTACATTACGTTACTAACTTGGCTTCTTAGGCCATCATGCATCGAATTGCATAGTTGATGGCCCGAGGGTCGAGGGCCATGCTCCCTTGAGTTCATTGCATGATAGGGAGTGTGGCCATGCTCACATTTGCTTGAAAATTCCATGCCATACACTGCTTGCCCTCTGCTGCTGTCAACTGCAGGATTCTGCAAGAAGCAATGGTCAGCCGGCCACCTACAGTGCCGATCGACCATCAGTGGCTGGCCGATGGTACAACAGTTGGCCGATAAGCCCATTACCATGGCTAGTGAACTTTAATTTTGGCCAGTGACATCCCAGAGCACTCAGAGGATGATTCAAAAGGGGTCTGGAGACTTTCAGAATTTTCAGAGAAGCAAGGCAATGAAAACAGAGGCAGCAGTGCTATAGTAGCGAGTTTCCGGGCGAGACGAGTCAAGAATGCATCATTCACACATTCCGAGGCAGGGCTGCGGCCACCTTCCTTCTGCATTTAATTTATTAATTAGTTAGGAATTCTATAATAATTAATTTAGCAGTATTCATTTGGTTGTGTAATATTTATTCAGACCCTCCGAGTGAGGACAATTGTGTAATAAGTGTGCGTAAGTGTGTGTATGTCTCCCAACCCCACCTCTTTCTTCCCTTTTATTTACTAGCTTTCGATGGTTAGTCTAGGGCATGTTTCAATTAGCATACAGTATGATAGCATGTTTGCATCCATTCATTCGTTTTGCATGCACCGGGCTCAGCGCATCATTCTAACTGCATTTGTATTTCAATTCCAAATTGAATACGTGTTAGTTGTAGCATTTCACATGTCATTATAGATTAGCCGAGCCTATCTTAGTTGCATTTTGCATGTGTTGTATTAGCCATCTTAACATGAATTAGGATCATGCATATGATTACTAACTAGTTTCTGTTTTGGCTCGGAGTACTCGGTAAGTTCTTATGCTTTAGCATCCTTGCATACGTGTGAGTGTTACCATGACAGCATGCTTACCATGAGGCTATTTGCTTATGTGATATAACTGCTTAAATGCCTGTGGATGGAGGTTGAATTACCTAAATTGGAATAATGCATTAAAACTGTGAGTTTTAAGCCCATTAGATAGTGGCAAAACCATCTTTTCTAAAGCCCACTTGAGGGTGGCAAAACTTGCATTTTAGTCTACTTGCGATTAGTAAACCATTTTCAAAACAAACATGCAATATTTTGTTCCAATTTAGGCGATTTGGTCTATACTTGTTTGCTATGCGCATAACATAGTAATTCTAGACTAATAACCGGAATAAGAACACATAATGCTTTCAAAACAAGATATCACGGTTAGTAGAGGCCGATCTTTGATCGGGGGAGAGGGGGTGCTCATAGCTGACCTTCCCCAATCGTACCCAAGTTCCTGAGCCGAGACAACTTTGGTGATGACGGATACGTGGCCTTTAGCACCGAGTTAGGGTTTCCTAAATTTTCCAAAATAAAATATTTAGGTGGCGACTTTGTATCTGGCAAAGCAGTCCATGTTTGGCACTTCTTTTCTAAAAATCTGTTTCTTTTCTTAAAACGATTTGCCGGATTTGGACTCTTTAGTTCAGATTAAGAACCGTGACAATTTGAGTTCGAACTGTAGTGAGCCCAAAATAAACAGAATGGGGATCTCCCCCGGGACGTTCGAGGACGTCTACAGGTGTTCAAAAGATTGAAGGAGAGTTTAATGCAGATGATAAATGATAGTTGCATTTTTGGAAGAATGCGAAGCCCATGCACGTTCTAAGACGTGGATAAAAGACCTTGATCCACTAATATCACCAAGTATTGGGTATATTAGTGCGGAGGGTAATGTTGGCTACATATTTTGTACAAACCAATTACAATTCGATGCATGGCAGAATAAGGGTAATACAGGAAGACTATTCAAGTCTTCGATTCTGATCGTACACGTGGCAGATAGTATTGGTTATTACGAGATCTGAGTAGCAGTGGATCAACAAAGAGATGTAAGGTGATATGGCTTCAACGGTTACTCACATTTGAATTCAAATTTTGGAGGGAAGCCTAACTGCAAGTGATGGCACAATGGAGCTAATTATAAGGCAACATGATCAGTGATCATAGAGGAGCAGTTCGACGGTTGAAAATACAGTTCGATGGTCATCCTTGAGAAGTATAAATAGCAGAGAAGGCCTAGAAAAGACCTCCACACTAAGGTCCAAAAAATCAGTCTTATTATACTTATTATTTTCCTTTCCAGTTTTTACATTTCTAGTCTTACATTTCCTGTTCTTTATATTCCTGTATTTTAAATTCTTGCACTGCATTTCGTTCATAGGAGCAGTTTCAAGTAGATTGTTGCTGTAAACCTCTACGAGGTTGCGTTTGGATTATTGTAAGTTTTTCATTTTAATGAAATGCTTCAACTGTTCTTCATTTAATTGTCATTTTGCTTAATTCTCCTAAATCAAGCCACCAGTAAAAGTCCTCTTTAGTGAGGATGAAAGAACTAAAATACAATCGTCTAATAATTGGTTGGCAATTAATTTTCTGTAAAGACTGATTGATCCTTGCTGGCACGTTCGTAATTACAATAATAACCTTTGAAAGCCAAAAAGCCAACAGCTGTGTATGTGTATTTTGGTTGGTTCATCTAGTATGTACTCTATTTTTTGTAACAGTAAAATATTATTGTAAACTAGAGTACTATGTTACTGTAAAACAGAGTAACATATTAGTGTTTACATCAATTTCGACGGTATTTTTTTAAATATATTTTTAAAGAATTTTATAATCAACATGAATCTTATTTAATAGATCTTGATAGGATAAATCTAAAAATATTAATTTTATTAAAAACCGACATCGATAAAAAAAATTATATTATTTTAAAATTTAAAATATTAAATTACGGACTAAATATATTTTAGTAATAATAATATGTATTAAAACTTTTTGTACTTTATTGGGTCCCCTTCGACCAAAAGCAAAACAATATAACGATGCATAAAAATACATGCATAAATAAAATTTTATCACATTTATTTGTTGGATCTACTTTTAAAAATTCATATTTATCCATTTATTTTCTGTAACTAATTCTAAGTTCAGTCTATGCTTCTAAACTTATTGAAAACATAATAATCATCCAAAATATAAAATGACACTTTTTTTTTTTTTTTTTTTTTTTTTTTTTTTTGGGTCAATTGACAAAGATAGTAATTATAAATACTGATCACTAGCACAACAACAACTAAAAGGTAAACAATCATCAAACTCAACAAACTCAGACTTTGAAAGAAATAAATAATTACAAATTACTACGAACATGTTTCTTAATATAAGCGAAATAGTATTAAACTCATTTTTATAAAACAGTTGAACTCACAATCTTACATCATAAAACTCAACAAACTCAGACTTTGAAAGAAATAAATAATTACAAATTACTACGAACAAGTTTCTTAATATAAGAGAAATAATATTAAACTCATTTTTATAAAACAGTTGAACTCACAATCTTACATCATAAAACGGTGCGACACAACTATTAGACCAAAAGTCAATTAATAAATTTTGATTTTTATGAAGTGTTTAATTTATGTCCTCATGGCCATACGTGATACATGTGGATCCCCCAATTGTTAAGCATTCCTCAATTCATTCTGTTACTAATTCTAAGTTCAGTCTATGCTTCTAAACTTAATGAAAACATGATAATCATCAAAATATAAAATGCCTATTTTGTTTTTTATTTTTGGTCAATTGACAAAGAGTAATTATAAATACTGATCACTAGCTCAACAACAACTAAAAGGTCAACAATCATCAAACTCAACAAACTCAGACTTTGAAAGAAATAAATAATTACAAATTACTACGAACAAGTTTCTTAATATAAGAGAAATAAATAAATGATATTAAACTCATCTTCATAATAATTGAACTCATAATCTTACGCCGTAAAACCGTGCTACACAACTATTAGACCAAAAGCCAATTAATAAATTTTGAATTTTATGAAGCATTTAATTTATGTCCTCATGGCCATACGTGATACATGTGGATCGTGGACTAAATATACTGGGGATTAGTTGGGTCAAAACTCTAAACACCATCGTTAATTTAAAAAAAGGAAGTGGTAGAGAAGAGACAATTATAATAGCATTAAGATCAGATCAATACATCCACTAATCCCAGAAATTATAAGAAAATAAAAAAGAAAATGTTGTTATTGAAATCACCAAATGCTAGAGAATTCAGATAAGGCTAGCAAACCATCCTAGGGATTAAATCTTATCAAACCAAGAAATTTTCTGGTCCTTGGAATCTGTAAAGCTCAACATTTGCATAAAATTCACCAAAAAAGCTCCTTTCCTTGAAACATTGAATCTTACAACAAAATTCACCAAAATGCCAGAAGCCCCACCAATGCACAACCCATCAAAAGTGGCATCGCCACGGCAAAATTCCGACCAGCACTGGAAAAATAAGGATCGATGGGATATAAATTCCCCGGTTGACCTGTTACATAAATGAACGATGGCGAAGGTGGTGGAGGGCAGTACTGGGTAGGCGGCAATTTGGGAGTCGGTGGTGGTGGCGGCGGTGGTGGTGGAGGACTTTGATTACATGGGTTGCAGCAAGAGGTGCACTTGATGCCAGAGTCCGGTGGTCCGGTCACAGTAGTGTCATCTAGCTTCCTAGGAATCAAACCATGAATTGGAGTTGCAATTGTCGTGATCACAAAAAACATCAACAGGAGCTTCGAAGGATCGAATTGTGGGTTTGTTATCGACATTTTGACGTCAGTGGCTGGAAATTTGATATTCTAGGTCTTAAAGAAATTGTTTTGGAGAGAGAGAGAGAGAGAGAAGGTGAAGGTCGTGAAGGTGATCCGAGAGAAGGTTTTCGTTACCGTAGGAGGTGCATGAAAGTTGTAACGAGGCTAATAGGTGATTTGCCAAATTGATTGGGGTTTTAATAGGCAAATTGGAGTGAGTTGTCACATGATTTTGTGTAGTGCCTTCTGTGCTGTTTGCCTTGATCTAGAAGCCAAAATCACATTGCATGTGTATGGTCCAATATCTATGCTCCACTTTATTAAGCTTTAAAATATTTTTCTAATATAATATAATATCATACTATTATTTTGCGTCTATGCTTTTAATCATTGTATGCGTATAGATTTATGATGTATTTGAAGTAGTGGAAGGAGAGACAATCAAACGCCTTATCACCTAAGAGATTGTATGGTCGAATTTCACGAAAGTCAAATATCACAAATTTTGAGACTACTGAAAATTTGTCCGATAGTTAATTTTAAAATCCTAGGCTAGAATTAATATTCTTATGCAAATATAGCATTCAGGGGGGAATTCGTAATTTCTCAAACCTCAGGGGGCATCTGTAATTTAGCCAAACCTCGAGGGGTGTATATGTAATTTGCCCTTAGAAATATTACTCAAAACAGTTATGGGGTTTAGTTTGTCATATGTGACTGTATTACAAACCGATATAAATCAACGAGAGATCGATATAAATGAGTAATTTAAATTTATTTATGACATGATTATGTTACTGGTCATAATAATTGTTCAGGCTAAGCTATTGTTTTGATAAAAAGTCATCACCTTCATGTGTGCGTGTTTTTTGTTTTGACTTTTTGTTTTGCGTCTGACTTGAGGAAAATTATTTAATAACTTTAGAAAATCACGTGGTCATATTGTAAGTCAATCACTAATTACTTAATTTTTATATTGGTCTTTCATCTCTAACATAAATTGTGAACCCTTACCTCTCTACCAATTAAAACCTTATAAAACACCACATGTCTATATTCTGAAAAAACTGAATAATCTTTAATAAAACACCACATGTCCATATTCTGAAAATACTGAATAACCTTTTTTGTTTATTCTACAAAAAGTTTAGGAGGAGGGGAGACTACCCCACTCTAGGGTTAGGGAAAGCGTTACACAATAACACCCACCAACAAAGGATTACCGACAGCGAGACTCGAACTTAAGCCAAATTAGCGAAGAGAGTGAGCCTTACCAGCTGAACCAACCCTTGTTGGTAAAAAAAAAAAATACTGAATAATCAGCCATTATTCGTAGGTGAAAATGTTGTGGTGTTGCTTGTGTAGAGTCATATGCGACTTAGCCCAACCTAAAGTTGACTTGAAATTGCTATCTATAGAACTGTAGAACATGTTTTTTTAACCACCACCCAAAAAAATAAATAAAATAAAATTTGTAGAATATGCTTTATTGTAGCATGATGAAAGCTATGTATATGAGGAATCGTATGCCCTGGCAGCCTTACAAAGATGATAAAGCAACTATTTATATATTGATAGGAAACTGTGGACAGCCCATCATTAAGTTAGGGAAAAAAAAAAAAGTTACGAATACAGAATTGAATATAATCCTGTGAGTTTTGGTTTCATGAAGTTGTGTTTAATTTTTATATAAATATAAATAGAAGTGTGAAATTTATTGACTTCCCACCAAATTTAAACATTAATTAGTCACACATCACATGATGATCTGTGGACATGCTAGTTGTACAAAGCAAAAGAATAATGTTTGAGGGCCCGAAAAATTCTGTCCCGAATGCCCCGAATGGCTGAAACGACGTCGTTTTAGCCATTCGAAATTTTTTTTTTTTTCTTCTTCCTCAGTCTGATACGCAGTGAGGGAGGAGAGAAAGAGAAAGAGAAAGAGAGGGAGAGGGAGAGAAAGAGAGGGAGAGGGAGAGGCCGTCGTCGTCGTCGTCGCCGATAGCCGATCGCCGCGCCTCCGCCTTCGCCGCCTCGCTGCTCTGCTCTGATCGTCGCCTCCGCCCCTCGTCGGCTCTGCCCCGCTCGTCGCCTCCGCCGATCGTGTCGCCTCCGCCGCCTCCTCCTCCATTTTTTAGGCCCCCTCCATTCCTTCCTCCCCCTCCCCCTCCCCCTCCTCCTCCTTCTCCTTCGTCTTCCTCCTTTCTCCGGCTGAAAAGAAAAAAAAAAAAAAATAGGAAATTTTTTTTTGAGCCATTCGAGCCGTTGCCCATTCGGGCTCTGTACCACTACTCATTAGGATGTTGTCTTCCCAATTTGTTGAAATATATGATGAACATTATAAGATTTTGAATGATATGGTGGGTGTTTAGGAAGTTATTATTTTAGTAGGTTATTTTAGTTTTTGGCTATTTTAGTAAGCTAAAATTTTTGTGTTTAGAAAAATAGTTGAATTTTTTTGTAGTTGACTGTGAAATTTGTAAGAGAAAAAGTGAAATGATTATGAGTTTGATGTGACATTTTGTTTTATTGACTATTTTAGCCTATTTTATCTTTATGTGATTTTTTACTTTTTTAATGCATTAGTGCTATTAGTGGTGATATTTTTAGTGTGATGAATCATATTCAAGTGGTGGTTGTGGCACCAAAGGAGTCATTTTAAATGAAATAAAATTATGAGTTTAGGTAGAATCTACATTGTAAATTATAATGAACTCATCTCACCGACTTGCATTCAGATGCCTATTTGTGTGAAAGATCTATGGGTTAAAGAAATTCATCATAAAATAAATTATGTAAATTGACGATTGAGTACATGTTGATAGTGGACTAATCACCACAACCACATGTTTAAGATTTTGTAGTGGACTAATCACCACAACCACATGTTTAAGGTTTTGTTTCCATATACTATTTTAAATTGGAAAAAATTGACTTGTTTTCATTATCTAATTAGGATTTTTTTTCTCAAAATTATCATTTTTTATTATTTTAAGAGAAAATTATAACAGTAGTCCTTGTACTTTACCTCTTATGTTGTTTTAGTCACTGTATTTTTAATTGCCTTGATTTTGACTTTGAATTTATGATTTAGTTTAATTGATTATAATTCTTAGCATTTTTATCAAAAATACGCACATAAGTGTTACGTGACATGTTTTTAAGGGTAAAATTATAAATTTACTCAACTCAATTAGTTAATCTCAACCAATTTAGTGATGATTTTTCTTAAAAAATACTAATGGTATTATTAATTGGATCAAATTGAAGCAAACTCTAAAGTTAAGAGTCACAATTGAGTCAATTGAAAATGTAGGGACTAAAATGACACAAGAGATAAAATACAGAGACCGCCAGTATAATTTGCCTTTATCTTAAAGGCTTTTTAGTCTTGAGAAACCTTTAAAAAAAAAAAAAAAAGAACCATTTCAATTAAATTTGAATTAGCGATAACATTTATAAATTTCAAATAACAAATTTTAAAATTAAATTCCAAAAAATGAATTATATATTTCAATGTAACATAAGTAAAGAATCTAGAAATATTTGCTAAACGTGAAGTTCAAATAGCAAATTTTAGATTTTTATCCATGTCAAAATAACACATATATACACTATAGTAAGTTAGAATGGAATAACCTTCAATAAAAAAACATTATTGAATTAGTATCGTTTTTGCTTTATCAAATTTCAATGCTTTCAAATAAAGGTCAATGAACATTTTGGTACAAAACAATCATCCTAGCTAACCATAAAAAAAATAATAATAAAATAAAATAAAATAATCATTTTGTTTAGAATGAGAGAGCCAACCAACGACACACATGTAGAAGCAACGTAACCCAACGTTTCTAATATGGATCAGTCACCTGCAATAAAATCACTCGTTTAAATCCGCTTTAAAAAACCAATAGCTATAAAAAATTACATCAAAATACATATGAGAAATCGGAAGAAATTGTAATGAAGAATAATTGCATCAAAAGAAACTGTAACATGAAAAATCGCATCAAAATACATATGAGAAATACAAAAATCAATAACTATGAATTAAAAAGAATTAAATATACCTATTATGGTCAACTGAATTATGTCATTCAATGATGAAGTGAGAATAGACATATGTATCCATTACTAAAGTAAACAAATGAATAGAAAAGCAAATAAATCATACAAACCGCTAAATAGAATTAAACTCAAATTTTATAAGGGGAGCGAATAATTAAACTCAAATTTTATTAAGACTAAGAGTCTTGTTATAAGGAAGAAGAATTTTTGAAAGTTGTAAAATCAAACAGAATTAAATTTTAAAACAATTGAAGCTTACCTTGTGTGAAGATCCTTTTTTGGATGATCATGCTCCTTTGAATTTCTATCCCTGTAATAATACATATCTCATTTTCTAGTTGAAGCATTATGTATAACAATAAAAAAAAGAATCAAACTTGAAATCAATGTTAATGGACAAATCTAACTAAAATTAAACCTAAGGTTTATTAAATAAAATTAACTGTACTATTTTTTAAACAAAGATCACAACCAAATACTTATAAAAGATACTTACCACAATTGAAAAATGAAAGAAAGAATGAAACTGAATGAAACGAAACAAATAGAAAGAGAATAAGAAAAACATAATTAATACTCCAAATGATATAAATAGAATAGTTACATAGGGGAACTAAATTAAACAAAATAAAGATAGGTTTCCGAAATTTGATTTTAGAAACTCATTTAGAAACCCATTATAATAATTGCGTTGGTTCATTTATCATTTTCTTATTTTTGAAATCAAAACCATTTAGAAACACATTTAAATCTAACCCATTTTAAAAAATCATTACATGAAAATATGTTTCTAAAATCTAAACCATTTCAAAAAATCATTACATGAAATTCACGGCTTTTTCTTACCTCATACCCAATACCACCTTTGCCTCAAACCAATTAATTGACCAGCCTACTAAAAAAAAGAAAAGAAAAAGGGATTAGTTGGTTTGTATGCTTTGTAGGTGATTGATAACATGCTAGTTATTAAGTGAGGATAGAGAAAAGTGAAAAAATAAAACTTTATTATAAACGCACCTAATAAAACTTAAGAATATAAAACTTTATTGACAGCCCGTGCCTGAAGGCACGCCCAATAAAACTTAAGAATATATTTTAATTTTATTATAGACAAAAACCAAAGTGTAAGCTTCACATCAAAACTGAAGTGTAAATCGCCTGCTAAACAAAGCACACAAACCAAAGCTATTGTACACATGCTAACGCTTTATAATCCCAAAAAAAAAAAAAAAAATCACTGAACACCAGATAAAGCACACCAGCAAGTGTTTTGCAATCCCACAAAAATTAAAATTAAACACCAAACAATGCACACCAACCAATACTCTGCAATATAAAAATATTAAAATTAAAATGGACACCAACCAATACTCTGCAATTCAAAAAAATTAAAATTAAAATGCACATTTGTTAGTGCTCTACAATCTCACCAAACAATGTACACCTCCTAGTGCTACTACTGCCAATCACATTTTAACAGTTCTTTGCAAATTATAAACCCGAAATATAGTGAGAAAAATAGAGAAAAAAAAATGCATTGCTATAATTTTTTTAACCACAAAGCACTCCGATATAAAGACCGCTTAAATGGTGAAATTTACTCTATAAAAAAAAATCCCTAAAAAATAGCCAAATTAAAAGGATTCGAAAAGAATAAATTAGATGGATTAAAGTCATTTTGAAATAAAAAATAACTAACGTTAGGCTATTTCCAAATCACGTCACATAGTAAGCAATGAACTTTCTAACTGTTAAAAAATATGCTAATTCTTGTGGTACCTGCTCCCATGTTCTTCACCTTTTTTCATCATCTACTTTTACTATCTTCTCTAACGCACTTGATAAAAAATAAGCACACATATTTTCTCTTACTAATTGAATCATATTTTGAAAAAAATGAGTTCACATGTAGGAAGAACAATGGGACAACAAAAGCAATACACTATGATTTTGTTAACTTTTATTCCAATGGGGATTAAAACAAATGTGATAGAGACGGGGAAGGGAAAAAAACGTTTGCAATTTATAGTTTCTTTGTAAATAAAATGGATATAAACCAAAAACCCAAATAAATTCAAAAGAAAGAAAGATTAAGGAGAGAAGAGGAGGAGAGGGGTGGAGGGGAAAAAAAAAAGCACAAAATACCAAAAGATCCAACAAAATACCCAATACGTAATAGACCCCAAAAACATAAATTTTCTACAATTTTGAGTAATGAAACAGATATAATAAAAAACAAAAAAAATCGCTTAGAGTTTATACCTTCGATTATATCGAAAACCCATAAATTGATGACCTACAACAAAAAGACACAACACAACATGAAAATGGCGGAAAGAAACAAACTGAAATTTAGGAAAACTAATTATTAACGGGAGAAAGGCACTCCTATATATGCTTTAAATGGAAAAATATTAACAAAGAAATCGAAATTGTTTCCTAAAAAATGGCCAAAGTAAAACGCTTCTAGAGCCATCCAATAGATAATTTACTTGTGACTAAAGTCATTCTCAAATATATTCTAATCCAAACTTAAACCAATGCCTTATAGATAGAGTGTAACTTTATGATAACTGTTACGTAAAAGAACAATTCAATCCAATAAAACATAGCCCAAGAAATATAATTCTGACAAAACAAAATTCTCAGACCAACCTCAATGTAAAATGCAACTACTCCCAAGTCTTCTTATTAGTCCCAGCAATAATATGTCCCAGAAAAACCACCACTCTTCAGGCTATCAAATATCAATACAATTTACCCATTAAAAATCAGCATATGTATTGATTAAAAATCAGCATCCAATTGTGCAGGTATGTCATTTTGTCTTGATTTCTTGATAATACACATGGTAAATGATCCAAAGTGTAAGGTTTATGTTCTGAAATTTATGTTTACAAGACCTACAACAAAAAGACACAACACAACATGAAAATGGCGGAAAGAAACAAACTGAAATTTAGGAAAACTAATTATTAAAGGGAGAAAGGCACTCCCATATATGCTTTAAATGGAAAAATATTAACAAAGAAATCGAAATTGTTTCCTAAAAAATGGCCAAAGTAAAACGCTTCTAGAGCCATCCAATAGATAATTTACTTGTGACTAAAGTCATTCTCAAATATATTCTAATCCAAACTTAAACCAATGCCTTATAGATAGAGTGTAACTTTATGATAACTGTTACATAAAAGAACAATTCAATCCAATAAAACATAGCCCAAGAAATATAATTCTGACAAAACAAAATTCTCAAACCAACCTCAATGTAAAATGCAACTACTCCCAAGTCTTCTTATTTGTCCCAGCAATAATATGTCCCAGAAAAACCACCACTCTTCATGCTATCAAATATCAATACAATTTACCCATTAAAAATCAGCATCCAATTGTGCATGTAGTGACAAAAACCCAATAGACTTCATGTGTGAAATAATGAGAAAAAGAGAGGGCTAACCAAACCAAAAAAAGAACGTTGGTTTAAAAAAAAAAAAACAAAACAAAACAAAAAAAAGTGACAAAAACCCAATAGGCTTTATGTGTGAAAGAATGAGAGAAGCGAGTGTTAACCAAAACCAATAGAGCATGCCATTTTTTTAAAAAAAAAAAATAAGAAAAAAGAAAAAAAAAAGAAAAAGAAGAAAAAGAAGCAGCCTATGACAGTTTGTAATAAGGTGCTCATGGCTAAACACAATCAAATCCAAAATTCAAAACTTATTTTGCTTAAGAAATTCAAATCAGAACATGCAAAATGAAACTGAGTAATGACAACTTCCATCTCAGCAAGCATAAACTAATTCTTCCAATCCAAAATAGATGTATCCACCTGTAGACACCCCATTTTTGACCGACCTTAAGACTCAGACGTCACCGATTGAGCGCTTGGTGATGTTGCATATTGTGCTCGTTCAGGGGTTTCAGAGTCTTGGCCGCGAGCCTTGCCTCCGGACTTCCGGGCTTTTTTTTTGCTTTGCCTCGGTTTACGAACCAGGCTTTGTTTTCCCTGTTTCCTCTTCCCGAAGGGAGGGAGAGGTCCCGTAGATCATCTCTCAGTGGCCGTAGGCTACGTTTCGTGGTCATAGGCCATTTTGCCCGTTTGGAGTCCAGTTTCCGATTTTTCGGAGCCGTTGGCCGTGTGCCTCGGTTCGGGACCGCTTAACCACCTCCGTTCGCTCCGGTTTTTGGCATACATATTATTTTCTCCCTTTTGGGGGACACTGCTATCCGAGAGACCAACTTCATGGTCGAACACCACTTCCGGTGCCTAACAGTCAATTTTCGGGGCCTCGGGCTGCGCGTTTCGGCCCCCGAACCTTCATTTTGCATTGGTTTTGATTCGTTTTTGGCAGGGACCTCTGTTTCATTGCTGGGAAGGTCATAGAAGGATGGGAGGCCAGTAATTGTTTCGTCAGCCAACTTTATCCCTTCATCGCCCTCCGTCGCCCGATTTTTCTCACTTCAAAGCCAATGTTGACCACCCTTGGGCCATTTTCTTGCACCCTAAACCCCATATTTGTGATGTACACATCTGGGAGGCCACCAGTAAATGTTTTTGAACCTTTTGAACCCCTTTGAAAAGTGGGTTGTTCTCTCTCTTGGTTCACTATTTCCAGTGTTTAACTACATGGTTGTATTGTGCACACATCAGATGCTCTCTTTTTGGTGTGGCCGGCCACTAATGCTTCTTGACCCTTTTGACCCCTAGCCGACCGGCCATGGGAAGTAGCCGGCCGGCCACCTAAACCCTAGATAACTGGCCGGCCAGATTCCTTGCATCAGGTATAGTGCAGATACACCCTCCTTTTCCCCCCAGATTCTATATCTGGGGGGGCCAACTTTTGGAGGGAAACTTGGCTTCATTTCCCTCCATTTCCCCCCCCCCTTTTCCCCCCTCTTTGGCCTATATAACTGGCCTCCCAGCTCTGTGATAAGGGTTAGAAAAATTACCCTTGAGCTCCCATATTATATCACTCTCCCTTTACACTTCTAAGCTCCAAACCTCTCAAGTCCTACACCCATTTCTTCATCAACCCATAGCCTCACCCTTCCATCCTCCATTCCAGCAGCTTGAGGTTGTTCTTCAGAGCCTAGGAGTGCTGCATTTTGGTCCAAAAGTTGTCAAAAGCATAGTCTTCAAGAGTGAGCTTCCTTTTTTCCTTTTCTAGCATTTTCTTGATTTATTTGTAAGCCATACTTGCTTGCTGTTTTGGGCTCCGACCCTAACTGGAGATAGGCTTATTTTGAGCTATTTTTCATGTTTGTTTAAGGGCCTCTCACTGTTTGAGGCCTCCTTGTTGCACTTGCTTCATTACCTCCCTTGTATGCCATTTTCTTGTATAGTATTTTAGGCCTGTGTATAAACTGTTTTGAGCTCTGTCATAAACTGTAAAGTAGCTTATTTTGAGCCTTTCTTCAACATTGTTGAAGGGGTCATCACTGTTTGAGGCTTCCATGTGCCACTTCCCTTTATATCTCTCTTTTGGATCCATTTTTGCATGATTTGTTAGCCTCTTATGATTCTGTTTTTGGGCTTTGGTCTGAACTATAAATGGCCTTATTTTGACCCCCTCTTCATGTTTAATTAAGGGTCTTTTACTTTTTGAGGCATCCTTCTTGTACTTTGTGTTATAGCTCTCTTTTTGGCCTTATTTTGCATAGCATTTTAAGCATGCTTTTACACTGTTTTGGGTCTGTTTATAAACTGAAAAAATGCCATATTTTGGGCCCCTCTTCCACATTGTAGAAGGGCCCTTCTCTGTTTTGGGTCAGCAGCTGTCACTTGTTTCATTAGCTTGCTTTCGGGGCCATTTTTGCATGCTAGTTTAGCCCCATTTGTGTTCATTTTTTGGTCTTCATTAAAACTGTAAACATGCTTATTTTTGGGCTTTCTTGACTCT